CTCTGTTGCCTTTGCTTTACCACGGTATGAAGCGTGTCTTTCAGCTCCTTACAGAAGGGCAGGAGAAGTAGGAGCTAGCTTTGATGACATCATAGCTTTAACTTCCATACATTTAGTTATGGTTGGCCTAAATATTTGTTGGCCTGCATGAGACTATTGTCCTGGTAGAAACGTGCAGGCGATTTTCATCAACACAGTCAGTGAAGTAGGTAAAGCAATTGTTCAGTTTCCAATTAGAACAGAAGAGTTTTAAATTGTAGGCTATTATAATCAACAGTGGAATTTTCATCAAACTTGCTTTGATTGATTAAAATGAGCTCAAGAAGCAATTCTCTTAAAAATGTCATTACTATCATTTTTGCAAATGCATATGAACACCACGTCTGGGGTTGTCATATCATAATAGGACAGTGCACAGCAAACTAAAGGCTGTATTTTTGAAGAAGACAGTATTTACTAGTTCTAAACTGTGTTGCATTTAATCATCAGTACCTACTAGGTTTGCTATATGTGTCCTGATTCTTGTGAACAGTTCTGACTCCCCACTCTGGAACACTGATTGTTCACAGTCGCTGAAAGTTTGATGAAACAGTGGAATGCTAATGGTCACCAATATGACTCGTACCCTACATCCACTTTGCCCTCTGGTTGAATCAGTACACCCAGTGGATGGCTCGGAGGTCTATGAGTATTAACATGTTGTGGTGTAAATGATGGATACGCTCTGGTCTGGGTTTCGATTGCACTCCCCGTCCTTTTATTTCCCAGGTGCCATTGGTAGGTCAGTCACCAAGTGTGCTCCAAGCACATTTTCACTCTCAGGCTAATTTTGCATCCTTTAATATTGCATGGAGCTCATTTAGAGGATGCAGGATCAGAGTACATTACATGCACACACTAGAGTCAATACAAGCATGAAAGCACACCTACCTTGTTTTAATTTCTCCTCTCTGCAGCTCTCTGGGGTGCATTTAAGAATGGAGAACAATTTAGGACTGATGTGGTTACACATTTCAAACCATGTCTATGTATTTGTGTATATATGCATGCAAAAGACAGTTATGTGTATGCAATTTGCACAAAAAGGGACACAAACACCATTTTAACTGTTCTCATAGTCATCAGTCACCCTGCCACTTTAATTTATGTGCCACTTCTGGGAGCGTTGTCGTTCATTTTCGGGGGGTAAGGATATCAATGTTGCACAGCTCTAGGGAGAAGCAGCGTCTAACAGAGGCAACAAATTGTTTCTTAACCCTTTATGGCCTAAAAGAAAATAGCTGGATTTATTAAGATAAAAGCAATCCTTTTTTATGAAATACTTCACAGACTAAATCTGAGCATTGTCATAGACAAAAACCAAAAAATAACATTTAGCAACAGTCAAAGCACCTGACATAAAGACAAATGCTGCAGAGTTTCCATTCTTGTGTTTATGCGTTGCAGAATCTGGCAGCATGGGTCAAGGGTTGCAAGTTGAGGGGCTGTGCAAGTCATGACTGGATGAGGTCATTTTAAGGTTATTTCCGTTTGGGGATTCCAGACTATTCCTGTCCATCTTATAAGGCAATCCAGAAGACCTTTTCCACCCAGAGCCTCTATCCCAATCCCTCCTGTCACAGTGATGCATTCCAGAAGGCAATAGATGCTGAGAATGCCTGAGATTGAAGACGGTCTGTTGGGAGAATGTCTGCACATGCAGATTTTTCCACAGCAGACTCCCGGAGATGAAACTCTTATGTCGCTCTGCATTTATGCATGACGAAGATGTTGAATTCTTGCATTTTGTTGTATCTGATTTTCCTCCACTTGATCTAATCTTATGTCTTTGGATAATCTGGGATGCGTTCTTGCATGATAAACCAGCAGAAAGGTCAGACCTGATCCCACAACTGTCCCAGCCTTTCTACGAGAGCACTTGGATAATTTTGTGACAGTTTATGTGATCAGGATGATCCAATAAGCCACCCAGTTTTATTGACTTCGTGAATCACAGCAAACCTCAATTCAGTGTAGCTACAAGCTACATGCTACGCTGATCTCCAGTGAGTATAACTTGATACAAGCAGAGCAGATCTCTTCACCCGGCTCAAGGGATCTTTATCTCTGCAGCTCAATTGAATTATTCCTTCTTGATCAGCTGGAGGAATTAGGTTAGAGTGGCCATAATCCACAAAAACAGACCGCTTGTGTCATGGACCTGTGTAAAGAAAATGGGAACAGAGCAGAGAGCCAGATGCTAATTTAGCTGCAAGTCATGGCCCACAGTCCTACTGACTATTAGAACTATTAAAAGGAAGTGAGAATGATACCTAAAGTCAAGCCAAGAAGAGAAAAAATCCCCATATTCTTGGGACAAAGGCATTTTCACAATAGCCTCTAAAGTTAAGAGCATTGTGGGCAGCTTTATTGATTTTCTTTGTAGCAGTGTCCGGGAGATGGCGCCGAGAAAATGAGGTCTGGCTCGAAGGTTTATGTCCTGCCACCGTTAGGAGGAAACGTGAGCCGAGGATTCAGCTGGCCTTTTGTTGTAAATGTGCTCCCTTTAGATGGACTCAAAGTGTCTGTTTTCCTGGCTATCGGAGGCAAATTAAATATGAAGGGTATCAGTAAATGGGCAGGAAGACTCCAAACGAGTGCTTAGGGACAGTTTCCCATTATTGTCATCTATTATCTTGGACAGATAGTGATATCGGACTCTGAATCGTCGATTGCAATCCGCCTCGCGTTGCTGTGGCAGGTACATAGGTTATGAGGTTGTGTGAAAACAAAAAAAGCACTCTTGAAGGGATCATTTGGGCCTACTTTGCAAATGCAAGACATCCATAATTAATGCAGGAGTTGAGACAGTGCACCAGACAGCTCAGCTTTGCGTTCATGTTTATATAACCACCTGGCCGGACATTACAACATATTTTTATATCTCAAGCACGTCTTGCTGGGATATTTTCTCCCTTTTGCACGAGAGAAAACCAGAGTTTGAACTGTGTGAAACTTGTCAGACAGAAAAATCCACATTAAATGCCAAGAGACTTACTTGATGAAAGATTAACTAAGGCTCCGGCCACATATTCTTGTACAGAATCCACCTTTTTTGCACCAAATGTGTTGCTGTAAGAACTCATAGTGGCTGTGTCAGATACGAGTGTAGTTCTGGGCTCACCCCTGCGTAGCCGCTGTAAAACGCTGCTCTGTACACAGACAGTCACTCTGAAAAATAGGCCTGCAAGCTATAAATGTCAGCCGCTTAAATCACATGCAGGCCAGAGCAGCGTCTCACAGAGAGAATGCTTCATCACCGCCTAAACTACAGCTGCCCATTTATTATGAGTATGTTTATAAATCACTAAGGAGACCTTGCATTCCTGAAGCCTTTAAAATGAAGAGAGCACAGCAAAATGAGAGAAAGAGGGGAAGAACAAGAAAGTGAAGATATGTGAAGTGTGGTGAGAATCAATATCATATGTAATGGCTTCATAAGTCGGCTAAGATGAATATCTTTTTGGGAAAAATCAAAGTTGGGCTAGCTGGCAGAAAGAAGATAATCTCTTATTGTTTATTGTATGGATTCATTGCATTAGAAGGGAATTTATACAGATTGCTGGATGCCAGAAATACTAAGAAATAAGATAAATGAAAAAAGGAAGTAAAGGTGAAGCATGTTCTTTATAAACAGAAGTGCAAAAGTTTGCAAAAATCTCTAAATGCTCACAATCCTTCTAATTACCTTTCTTGACTCACAGGACCTTGCTGTGATTTTGCTGGAAAAAGAAACATGTTCAAATAAATCTGTGCAACAAATTTCCTCCCAAAGTGGTCACAGTTATTGTGGCGTCGGCTTATCCCTACACAAAAAGTGTGACCCCACTTTTCTACCAGAAGCAGAAGCATTGCATAATGTCTGCAAAATGCACTGAGCAGCACATTTATTTTTCCTCCAGCCACAAAGTGTCACGTTTTGGATGCTTCCAAGAAGCGTAGAGAGGCGTTGCTTGCATTTCAAGTCTGTTTCTTAGGGTCTACGCTTCCAGAAAGCATCAAACTCCACAGATCAGATTGGGCCGGACAGGAAGTCAAACATGAAATCAGCTTAAAACATCCATAACCTTTCAAAATAAAAGCCACGCACAGATCCCCAGTTCAGTTCAAGTAACTAGTAAAAAACATACATCATTTCCTGTGAAACGTTCGTAGCTGAGGTGAACAGAACATTAAATAAACCACAGGCCTTTTTGGATACATGCAGCCATCTTTCTCCTTGCTTGCTATCGTGTGAACTTCTGAAATCATGTAGGAAAACATGCATGGAATGTTTTTTGCATCTGAAACACTCCTGGTTGAAAGCTCACAGGTAAAACAAGTCTATTACCTTACATGCCGCTTACGCAGTCAGTGGCAAGGCTGGGTAAGAAATGTGGGATAACTTTGGGAGGGATTGGAGACTAAATTAGATAAAACTTTCACAAAGACTTTGGAGCAATAGATACTTCACTGAGACACTTTACACTTCAATTTACACCAACTACATTTGCACAACTATCAAAAGTCACAATGTCAATTACAACACCAGTCCCATGTGAATTAGTGGGAGTGAATTAATAATGAACTGAAGAGAAAAGGTTCTAATTTTCTCACCATGTTGAGTTTTTAAACATCTTTTGTGCATTCATTCTGTGTGAAATACCATGTAAACTATTCTTACATCCCCGACAGGAGGGGTTCAAATGTAAAGGAGGGGGTAACGTAAGAATGGATTTAAAATGGGTTTAATTGTCATAAAAAAAGGTTCAAAAACAAGTGAGCAAACAGTTGGAGAGCATTATTAAAATAATGCCAAACAAAACCAAGACTGAATGTTAATATTTAAAGAACAAATTATCAACATCAAAACACCAGGTTAAAACTTTGTTAAAAGTTTTACAGAAACAGAAGGTGCTTAAAAACCAAAGTCAATAAAACTGCATCAAACCAAGTTAACCTTTAAAACTACTATACCAAAAGATCCCTCTGGATCATCTAAGAGCTTCAACATTTCTGTTAAAACTCATGAAACGACGGTGTTGAAAATCAAAATCTGAGGCCTGGAGGACAGCAGAACCCCTGCACTACTGCCTCCCAGACTGCTGGATGGCGTGGGCTTTCATCCCAGGCATGGCTCATTACAGGGATTTAGGTCAGCTGTGCTCATCAGCAGCCTGGGGAAAGGAAGAGGAAGGGCGGTGTCTGGCTGATCACCGGGGCTAGGTGATCCTGGCTCCTGGATGAACAGCTGCCAGGCTGGTGGCCATAACACCCTCACACATAAAAAAAATAAAAACATTAAAGTTAGAAAAACCACAACACAACTAACTTTTAAACATTTTTTCTTTAAAACGGGTCCTGTTTTTAAAACCAAAGAGAGCATCAGATAAAACAACAAAACAGGCTACCTGAACCCCTAGTCTTCATGCAGAATATTGGAGGGGGGCCTATTAAGCACAAAACCAGCAGAGCCTGGAAGAATGCCTCTGACAAGCACATCCCCTTGACTCCCTGGGGTGCTCCTGAGATGGTGCCCAAAGGGACACCAACACTACCCTCCTCACCGCAACACTCGGAACAAAACAAGCAGGTCTCTCCCTAAAGAGGGTGAGCCTCTAAGCTTGCCTGCAGGGGTCCTCTCTGGATCCAACGTCTCCTCTCTTCATGTTTGGCTGGATCAGGCTTGTAGGCTCTGAGAGCCCTTCCAGCAGAGGATCCTCCGGCAGGGGCAGGGCCTCTAGAAGCACCTGCCGGTCATTCACAGCCATATGTTGTTTTAAAACCTTAAAACAAATGAAACACCATAAAAATACCACCACCAAGGGATTTTTCATTCCTTCACGATCTGATGAGGTTAGAATTCCTGGACGAGCCCCCATTTATGTTACGTCCCCGACAGGAGGTGTGCCAGCTGCACTGGCTTCCGGTTTGCTATCGTGCACAATTCAAAATCCTCGTCTTTGTTTACAATTTCTTCCAGGGTAGTGCTCCCCCCTATCTGGCCACGCTCCTGAACAAACATTCCCCATCACACGCTCTGCGCTCCACTGACCAAGGCCTACTCGCTGTTCCTCGTTCTAGGTGTCGTACTTGCGAGGACCGGGCTTTCTCAGTCCTAGCACAGTTACTCTGGAACCAGTTGCTACCCTCAGTTAGGCTGTCCCCATCTCTGCCAGTCTATAAGAGTCGCCCAAAAACACACCTTCTCCGCTTGGCGTTTCCTGAACATGTTTGATTCGGCCCTCTTTTACGTTGAATTTCTTTCACAGTTTTCATTGGTTCACTCAATCCCTTGTTTTACCAATCTGTCCTGTACTAGAATGTTTCACCTTTTCTGTAATTTGTATTTTGTAATTTGAATTGCTTTTATTTTTGATTTATTCACTATATTTGTACGTCTACTGTACCATGTTCAGCGCCTTGGGCTTCCTGACAGGGTTGCGGAAGGCGCTTTATAAATAAAGCTTTGATTGATTGATTAAATTAAAACACCTGGTTAAAACTTTGTTAAAAGTTTTACCGAAACTGAAGGTGTGTTAAAACACAACGAGGTTGATAAAAGTCTAAAAACCAAAACAGAGTTAACTTTAAAACTGAAAATGTATTTTTTTTACATGTCAGTGCAGTTTTCTTATTTGTGGTTCAAAGTGACAAGAAAAAACAAAAACATTTACACCAGGTGGGTTTAAGAAAGTCCTGATTATAATTAAGACTAAAAATCTGATTTATCAAATGCATGATGTCTCTGTGACATCTTTAAGTCATTACAGAGAGGTCAATAAACGCCAAACTTTTTTTTGTAAGATAATAAAAAAATGTCTAGTTAAATCTAAAAAATCTGCTAAATGTTGTAAGAAAGAGCTCACGTTTTACTGCACAGCCTGTAACCACAGTCAGTTTACATTTCCAGAGGTGACGCCAACCAGTCAGTAGTAATCATCCGGCGTCGAGTCACGTTCACCATCCTCCTTATGAAGCAGACCCACTGATTAGCTGACGAGGAACAGCTGTCGCTCCCTCTCCAGTCATCCAAACACTCAGAGATGGTGAAAAGTGGGAAGAGTACTCACCCCGGCTCATGACAACAATTACTCAGAGATATCCTAGTATAGAGAAATTTTATTAATTTTAGCAAGCCACAAACACAGAACAGCTACACGTAGTACACCACTGAAAACAGGAAACGCCTTACCGAAGATACTGCCACCTACAAGACCAACCTCTGCCAAAATGATTACATTTGTTATGCTCTGCAGATGTGGAAAGAGTACTAAAAAAGTACAAATGGTTTGATGAATTTTGATTCAAGTACAAGTTCAAGTACTTGTATAAATTTTTACTCAAATTAAAGTTGAAAGTCCGTTCAATAAAATGTACTGAAAATAAAAGTTGCTTTTTGTCAGTATTGGTCTCTTCTGAGTAATGCAAAAACGCAATGGGATAAAAATTTCAACTAGTTTTTAAAAAAAAAAATATTTAAAGAACAACTTTACAAATGTAAGTACAATGGCAGTTTAAGGTGGATTATGAGGTAAAGGAAGTTACATTATGAAAAAAAATCAATTGAAGCATCTGAACCCTTTTTTTCCAGCTCCTCCTAAAGACAGAGAATTGTAGAAAATGAAGACAACAGCCTGTAGAAAACACTTGTTCATGACACACTCATGCACTTGAAGCACACAAGTACACACACACACACACACACACACACACACATTAGAAACACACAGCTGTGTGGATAGACACCATTACACAGAAAACAGAGGACAGTTTGATGGATGGATTATGATCCAATCATTGACAACAGGACGTTCATGTTGATTGGATGAGGTTTTTCCAGGATTGTGCATTTCAAAGGTGATCAAATTTTTTTTTTTGACAAAACATATAATTCATTAGTTGCCATTAGTATGTGAAGAGCCTTTCAAGCAATATGACAAAAACTTCTCCAGAAATACATCTCCAGCGTTTTCCTTACACAGACTCAGCCAATGGAATTTCGATGCCATGCCACGACACTCTACATTTGCATGAAGAATCAATTAAACATGTACATAATTAATTTATTATTTAACTGGCATGCCCACCAACGAGTCATTTTGCATATGCATGAACGCTATCTTGTGCCAGCATGCATGTCCCTTTTAAAATTTCTTCATGAATTTTCTATTAGCAAAAAGATTAATTTTGATGTTTCTCAATGTGCCAGGCCAGTTAAAACTCACACACACTTTGTGTGTAGCCACTTATGCCTGGAACACATCAGAGGCGGAAGTGCGACATTGCGCAGCAAAGTGCCCTTGTTAACCTACGGTCACATCTGATCAGCTGCAAAGCAGAACGAAGGCTTGCGCCGTGCAGCAATCTTTTTGGCATGTGCTGTTTTTCTGAAATTGTGTGTGTAGTAAACTCCCCCACTGTGGGATTAATAAAGTCTATTTTATTCTATGATCAAGTTTTTACTTTATGGACTCATGTACTGATGCTGTGTTTAAAATTACTGTTTAAGTTAATGAATAAACAAATTTAGATAATCTGAATATTTCTTCACACCATGAACAAAACAATCTGTCCTTTTATGGGGAATTCAGACACACAATCACAGGCCCACTTTCTGATTTTCCCAGGCTGCTCCGTTTTCCCTCAGGTGCTGCAGGGAATTAAACTACAGACACAGAAGGAACCACAACTCATCAGCTGTTGGGATCATACCATACAATACTGTTTTATTTGAATAGCACATTTTAAACACTGCATAAGAGCAGACCAAAGTGCTGCACAGACAACTACAACAAACTAAGAACAACAAAAGATCAAAAAAAATAAAACTGTCAAAGCATAGATAAACAGTAAAATTGAACCAGATAACTAAAAATAAGAAGCAGAAAATAAAAACACTAAAAGCACAGATAAGGCAGTAAGACATGGAAACTGTCCAACAAGTCACAAGGTAAAAGCCAACCCACAAAAGTGGGTTTTAAACAAGATTTAAAAACCGCCAAAGAGGGAGCCTGCCTTACAGTAGTGCATTCCACAGCTGGGGGGCAGCATGTACAAATGCTCACTCACCCCGCGATTTATAGCACATCTGTGGAGTGCAAAGCAAGAGGTGATCTGCTGACCTCAACAAACGCGTACGAGCATAAGGCATAGGCAGGTCTGACAGGTGTGCTGGTGTTTGGTTGTTCATTGCTTTGAAAACAAAAGTCAAAAGCTTAAACTGTACCCGGAATGCAACAGGGAGCCAATGAAGGAGTGCAAGAGCAAGGGTGATGTGGCTACGTAGATTTGTGTTCATCAGGAACCTTGCTGCTGCATTCTGGGCAACTGCAGCCAACTTAGTACTGAGCTAGGAATACCAGTGAAGAGTGCATTGGCATAGTCTAAGCAGGAGGACATGAAAGCATCAATAACTGATTCAAAATGCCTCCGCTTCAGAATTGGTCTAAGACGAGCCAGATGACGTAAGCAGGACCTCACAATAGAGTTTATCTGAGAAAGAGAGGTTGGCATCCAATTTTACCCCAAGACTCGTCATACACTACTTGTGATTTAAAGTTATAGAATCAAGGGCAAAGTGAGAGCAAGATAGATTTCTAGGATCAAAAACAATGGAGTCAGATTTTGATTTGTTTCATTTAAGAACATTAGCAGCTAGCCAGCCCTTTACGCTTTCCATGCATGCCGAGAGTCTGCATTTTTGTCATTTAGTGCCACATAAATTTGGCAGTTGTCAGCAAAAATATGATAGCTGATACCATGCAGGCCAATGACTTTGCCCAGTGGCAGGAGATATTTTGAAAAGAGGAGTGGCCCAAGGATGGAGCCTTGTGGCACACCCCAGGGCAGAGAGCACTGGGTTGAGGTGCAATTCCCAGCCTGGACAATAATCAAACAATCTGATAAATATGAGTGAAACCATTCCAGTGCAATTTTAATATCGGCTGTAATACCGCGTCTTTAAAAACCTTACGGAATACTCTGGTGCCAAGACTAATGTTTACAATGTTTAAGAGTGCGGTACTAAGCATTGTCACAGAATCACGCATCAATTTAAAAGGGAGAAAGTCCTTGGGAGAGCCCACTGGCTTTCACGGAGTTAATTAACTTCACTAAGTCTGAGAGCCTAATATCCAAGATCTTGTTTAAAACAAATTCTGTTAGTTTGTACAGAATGCTACAGTAAGAATTAGGCCATCAGACTCAGACAGTGACAGTAAAGAGTTAATTGTGTTATACAGCTTGGACTGGTTGCCATGGTGCTGTGTGATGATGTTGGATCAGGCTGCTTTTAGTCATGATGTCCACAGATTTCAGATTAAAGTTGTGTCTATTTGGGAAGTAGTGGTTTTGACTATTGAACCATTGTGATTACCCATTTAGGAATTTTCCCTCAAGAACCTTAAAACAACCTCGGTTTAGAAAATAATAAATTATGAACGTTTGGTGAAAGCAAAGATCCTAAAAGCTGATTCAGTCTTGAAGAATATTCACACTGAAACATGAACTCTTTCATTGTCTCATTAATAAAATGTCTTTTCCATGCTTGAGATTTCTCTCAAAACAGATTTTTTAAGCCACTTAAACTTTACCATCATGAGAAAAACTGTCATCAATTCAACAAGCATCACTCCAGCTTAAAATCTAGTTCTTGAATCTGAACTTTATCTATTTATTTGTGACTGTCTCCCTCAGTTCAGCTCGATCAGACCATGCAGATGTCAATGCAAACCCAGGCCTGGTCTTAATTAAGACATATCTGTATCGAGCAGCCAAATCTACAAGTCACTCATTGAATATGAAAAATGAAATGTGGGAATGAGAGGAGAGGGTGGGAGGGAGATCAATGATATGGATCTGCATGTGCAGTCTGAGCCTCCGCCCTGTCCGTGCATGGATGTGTGTTTGCATGTGTGTGTTGGGGGTGCTGCAGCGTTATTGGACGTCTGAATGAGTAATGACGTCGTCCCAGACAGGGCAATTACCACCAGTGCTCGTTTATTAAAGAGTGGATTGAGAAATTGAAGGAGGAAGATGGAGGCTCTGGTGCTGAGGGAATAGAGGATTAATTTGTGGAGGAAGTGACATGATGAACAAATGCAGGAAATTCTGTATTTATTTTATGTAATTCATTGAAAACGAGTTTCATCAAACGTGTGTTTAAGTTTCCTGTACAAAGAGATGTAATGTACGGTTTAGGTGCCATGTTTTGGTCATCAAACATGGTGGATTTTTATGTAGCACACTTTATTGTTCCCCCAATAAATCTGACTGATCCTGATTTAAGATTAGCTTGTTAGTAAACAGATATCGATCATAATCTGTGGTTATGGATACATCTGATTCTCACAGAGGGGTGATAGTTCTAAATAATTTAAACAAACAGTCTCATCATCAATGGGAGCATTTTGTTAACATCAGTAAACAGGTTGCTACCAAGAATTGATGTATCATTTACCACCTAAACCAAATTTAAATGATGCTGAAACCAAAGATCAGGGTTCCAAAGTCACATAAATCTATGGCTTGAGAGAAGATAGGTAAATGGACCTGATTTAGTGTCTGTCAAACATCTTGACTAAAAATAAGCCATAACTTCTTTTGTTAACTGCAAATTACCTATTAAGATTAAATAAATAAAAGACACAACAGGGGTGTGCACCACCAATAATCAGCCACTATAAATAATGTGGTAATTTTTGTTATGGTTGGTTGAAGAAAGATCCAAATTTGCCGACAGATAAAAAAAAAAGATTAATAAAAAAACACATCAATAACATAGTTAAAGCAAACAGGATGGTGGTGATTAATGAATGGCAACAGGTTTGCTGATTAAGAATGGGAGACAGGTGTGTGAGAAGACCGTAGGGAGGGCATCCGGGCAGTGAAGCAAAAATATCAACTAAATAAAATATCAAAAACCAATCAACCACATGGAAAATAAAAAAGCATTTCTAAAAACA